AGCAGGAGAAAAAACGATCTGATTGAGCCCTCTCTGTTCTTGCTATTATATTTTTTTGAATAGCAGCCATTAGGGACAGTTGGGATTGGGACCTTGGTGCAAGCAGGGAACGTGGTCCAGTGAAAAATGTTTTACTCTTCATCTCTGTAACCCATTCATACAAATTAAGAAACATGTCCCTTGAGCAGTCCAGATGCTACTTCAATTTGTCTCTGCAACTGACATGCATACGCACAATGCTGTGTTGCTAGGAGGAAGGGCAGGATACAAATAGAAAAACAAATCTGCCACCTCAACTTCATTATACTGCCGGATCTATTCCAAACATGGCAATCCTCTCCAGAATTGGGACAGAACAATATCCATTCATTTTTCATGTCACCAAAACTATTTAGAACTCAATCATTCTGTGTGTTCACTTATAACATGCCATTTAAGTATCTAAACAGAAAGAATGTGCCAAAGAACATTAGAATTAATGTATTGTAAATAACCCCATTAATTCATAAGGTCACCCTAAGTCGGAAACAACTTGACAGCATGTAATAACAACAAAAATAACCCCAAAATGTTAAACAGCTGCAGTGTTGAAAGCACAGAATGGCAATTTGTTTCTCCCAGTGGGGTCTGGTTGAAACACAAGGATGTCAGCTAATTAAAATTATACACCACGCTGGTATGTAAAATCAATGATGTTATAATACTTTTCCATTTTATAAACCTAATAGGGAACCTAGTATAATTCCCAAAGGAGAAAAAGTTTGAAGTGAAAAATTATGGTTAAAGTTACACCCACCATATAGTGTGTACGGATCCTTCAGTCTCAAGAGACTATGGTAACGTGCTCTGAATAGAGGTCTTGGGACAGCGTCTAATGTGGCTGAGGAGGCCAATTCGAGAGTGACAATCCCTTCCACACTGAAGACAAATATAATCTGTCCCCTGTCCAGCTCCCTGATTTTGCTAGTTTCGGGACTGCCTCTTTGCCTTGGCATGCTGGACAAGGGTCTCGTCAAATTGGGAGAGACCATGCTGCACTGCCTGCTTGCTACACTCACCACAAAGTAAAAAAAGAGAAACTCTCCCCTTTAAGAAAAAAAAAGGGGGACATCTATGTTATCTTCTTGTACCCTAACCTCCATCTTAACTAAATCAAAATGTGAGCTCCAAATGTTTCTTTCCTCAAGAGAAAAACCTCTACTCAGAGCCATAACTAGGGCAGGAATGTGGGAGCTCTATCTCAGGACATTGAAATTTAGAGGGTGCAAAAATCCTCTAGATTCTATGTGTGGGTCATCTTGCATTTAAAAGGCTCACAACCTTTCAGGAAACCAGGCAGCTGGGTACACTCAGTCCCCAAATCTCTGGTCCCCAAACTCCAAAGCTGCATTCCCATCATTCCCCACCTTTCCTTTCTTCCTCTAGCCTACTGGGTTTTGCCTTAGCTTGGGCTGCTATGAGTAGACATACCCAAAATGTCAAAGTAGCAGCAGGAGATGAGAGGCTCGGTAACAGAATAGGGATGATCAAACAGCCCAGCCAGGCTGTGCCATTAACAGGGATGAAACTGAGAACAGAGGAGGAGAGAAGCATGCTTGCTCACCCGCCTGCTCGGTCTGCTTCCCATGCTGTGCAGAAATGGCATAAGGAGGATGCAACTGAGAACAGAGGAGGAGGAGGAGGACGACGACGACGGTCTACTTCCCATGCTGTGCAGAAATGGCATAAGGTGAGTGGGGTACTGGGAGGCCTGGGAACAGCAGGGTGTTGTTCCATGGCATCTCAATTTTCTTTTTTTAAAAAATCCATAGTTCACATGCACAAGTAAAGTTATGATCAGTCCATGGTTAGACATATGGATTAGAATATCCCATAGTGAACCATATTAATAATAATAATCTTGCACTGTTAAATCAATTCTGACTTAAGAGAATACTTTGAACTAGTTTACCATTCCCTTCTTCAGGAGGTACCCTGGGACTGTGTAGCTTTCCCAAGGCCACGCACCCTGGCTCTACTCACAGGGGCACAATGGGAAATCAAACTCCCAATCTCTGGTCTACAGCCAGATATCCAAACCACTGAGCTTTTCAGCCAGCTCACTGCCTTCCAAATCCTGAAAGACACTATCACCCAGTTATCTTTATGACTCCAGACACTGGCTATTAGCAAATTAATCCAATGGCAAGGAAGAGGGAATATGATGACTAGAAGCATCATACATATAACTGTAGAAAACCACCAATAATTTGTATTTTTAAATGCCTTCCCCCTCTTCCTTGGGACATCTTGCTCTTCCCCTGCCAATTCATAATGGGTCACAGTTAGCAGAAAGTTGTGGACAGTTTATGCATCTATCCTTAAAGATGCATAAATGCTAAGATTCATATAGTGATCTAAAAGTTCAAGTCCTCCCCCCCATGTGCTACTTTTGTGCCATTTGTATAAAAAATTATCAAGCATTATTTGCCAGTTAATGAATATTTACTATTATAATTTCCTTTGAAGGTCAAATGGAAAAGACCTACTGCCTCTTGTAAAATAGCTCTTCTCTGCTTCCCAAGTGAGTCAAAAGCTTTGTTCATTGACCAGAATGAAGAAGGGACAGACAGAAATGCTTTGCACAACGTGTCAAATGACCTATATAATTTCTTCTTTCTCTCACACAACTCTGAGCTCTTAAAGCAAAGGCTTGAATATTAAGAATGGAGTAGAATAAGACTATGATGTCTCTCCCTACAGATCCTTGCTCCCCTCACCCCAAATCTGCTTGTGGATGTTGAGGAGTCTTCGAAATGTTGCTAGGGGGCTAGCGTTGAGCAGGGTTGCTTGGCAGACATACAGAGGTGCCTCACTTGACGACGTTAATTCGTTCCAGCGAAATCGCTGTAGAGTGAAAATGTCGTAAAGCGAAATAAAAAAGCCCACTGAAATGCACTGAAAACCTTTCAATGCATTCCAATGGGCTGAGTAACTCACCGTCCAGCGAAGATCCTCCATAGGGGCAGCCATTTTCGGTGCCTGTAGAGCGAGGAATCTGTCCAAAAACACAGCAGGGAGCCATTTTGAGCACCTGGCGGCCATTTTGAAAACCTGACTATCAGCTGTTTTGATCGTCGTAATGTGAAGAATCGGTTCCTGAAGCAGGGAACCGATCATTGTCAAACGAAAAAAAACCCATTAAAACATTGTTTTGCGATCGCAATTGCAATCACAAAAACATCGTTGTGAAGCGGATTCATCGTTATACGGGGTAATCGTTAAGCGGGGCATGACTGTACTCCTGACATGAATGGAGGAGGAATTCTTAAGTTTAAAAGCTTATTTTAACACCCACCCACCCCCAAATAAAGCGTAGGCTCTATATCAAGTGACATTCTGCTAACTAAAATCTAAATGAGGGTCATACCTGGATATCCCTATAGGAAATATAAAGGGCTTGTTTGGCTGTTTTACCTTTCAGAATTTGTGATAAAACTGAGAATGGCAGGTTTTGGATTACTTCATGTCAGCCCATGTTCTAAAGCAGTGGTTCTTAACCTTGGGTTACTCAGGTGTTTTTGAACTGCAACTCCCAGAAACCCCAGCCAGCGCAACTGGTGGTGAAGGCTTCTGGGAGTTGCAGTCCAAAGACACCCGGGTAACCCAAGGTTAAGAACCACTGTTCTAAAAAAAACTTAGCCAGCTTCGCCATTATGGCTGCTCTGGAACTATTGTGACTGTGCACCACCAGAGAACTGTGAGGACTCTTGCTAACATAACCCCCGATCTAAACCAAGTTGCTCTCACAGTATATATATAGGCTGAAATGTGCTCTCTTCCTATAGCATTTCATGTTTGAATTTCATAATGACACCAGCTACAACTTAGCAGTAGAGCAAATGCTTTGTATAATGCCTATGGGGTGCTATTCTGTTTCTCCATATTCTGTCCTAACAATAGCATCTTGTCAAGAAAGTAAGTTACTATAAGCAGCTGAGTTGGAGTGGTAATGAGGAGTCTACCTCCATGTCCCACTGGACATCTAAGGGTCCCTGTCCATCCATGTGATGGACATGGGGTGGATTCCCTCTCCAGGGCATTACTTGGGATTGAACACTCCCTGGAACCCCTAAGATGGAGACCCAGTTGTGCAGGAAAAGGGGAAAAAATGGGGAAAGGCCCACCAAAAATATCTCCAAGAAAGTGGAATATATAAGGAAGACTGAGGGTGTCTTCCTTTCAAGTCACAGATTACTTGAAAGAACTCAGTTTGAGGGAACAGGAGGAACTGGTGGAAAAAAACAGGACCAAGCGTTGAGCTGCCCAGGAGGCACTGAAGAAGGGTGTGTGTGTGTGTTTCAGATTAACTGGAAGAATTTGACCTCCAACCCAGCAGCACTGGGAGCTGCAGTTCCAATGGAAAACACAGGGGTGTCCTTCATGAACCCTATCCTCCCAGAAGGAGCACAGCCTTTCACAGTGAAACATCAGGATAATTAAATGTCGAGAAACACCCCTTTCTTTCAGGATGATCCACAGTTTTTCATGCTCCAATGTCAAAAACTTTGCTATAATCTGTAAAACATGAACTAATTTTCTTCTGAAATACTTCAATGCATTGCAGTAGTAAATAGATATATTTGCAATATGATGTCTGGTAATTAATTCTCTTTTTCTAAATTCAGTTTGAACATCTGGCATTTTCTCCTTCATATATTGAAAAAATCATTTGCTGAAATATTGTTGCTTAGTGTAATGTTGCACTAGAGGAGACACACTGAATCAGTAGTTAACATGTTTTGTAAGTCAAAATCAACTAGATGGCATATAATTATTACTAACATGATAATTACATTTTCTTTCCTTGTTTCCCTCCCCTAGTTATGCTGTATTAAAAATGACGTATGACATTTTTAAAGCTGATCCCCTTATTTAATAACTAATATTGAACATTACATAAGAATTACTTATACGCATATAAATAGTTATAGATTATTTAATAACAATAATGTACTTACTGAGTATTAGAAATACAATCATAGTTGGGTACTGTGTTTTGAGCATTTCCTTCTTTTTGACTACCAGCCTTTAAGTAACAGGATCGAATTTCACCTTTAGGGGAAAAAAGAAAGCTACAGTCGGTATAATGTTGTTGTTCTTGATTCATGCACTGAATTCAGAACCAAGAAACTACAGAATTAGAATGGAACACAAAGATTAGCTGTCCTATGAGCAGCTAAGAACTTGCCTTAGGGTTTCATTGTCAGTAAGCTGCATAAGGTAATCATTTTAAATTTTTACTCCTACAGCTGCCACAGCAGTCTTTCTGAAAAAAAAATCCCCACTACAACCAGTGTTGTCATTAATCATGCACTAGTTGCATGATACTCATCTATCTTCCCGCTTGATCTGTATTAGATCTTCTGTAAAGATGCCGCAGAAGTAGGATGATACGGAATCAGTTTCTCCAGTCCTTTCCAGATGTCCTCTCTAAAACTGCGTTGTGGATACTCCACAAACTATTCCAGATTTGACAGAAGCCAAATTCAGATTGCACCCTTCATGATAGGGGGTGTGATCAGAGATGGGCATTTGTCCCACTGTTTGGTCTGTTGTGGGGATGGGCTGGTTCACTCCTTTTTCCAGTGATTACATGACATAATAGATAGAGTGAACCAACCTATCCCCAGAGTATCCCCACCTGCATCTTTCTGGGTCCCCATCATGGGCTTCAACTTTTTTGATGTAGGTAGGATTGCTCCATATTGGTTCATGTCATAATACTGAACATTACATAAGTTCATGTGATAATATTGAACATTACAGTAGGGTCTTGACTTGAGAACTTAATCCGTATTGGAAGGTGGTTCTCAAGTCAAAAAGTCTGTAGGTCAAGTCTCCATTGACCTACATATATTGGTTCATGTGATAATATTGAATGTTACATTTTTCCCTAGCTCCAAAGCCAGATCAAACAGAGTCATCTGAAGTGTGTATGCCATTTGAATGAATGAATCACACCTAATGGCATATTTGGTTTGCTGGAAGTGAACCAAAACGAGTTTGTGGCTGTCAATATTTGTCTTCCTCTTTCGTTTCCCATATTGTTTAAATGATTTAAGAAGAAAGCCAATTCATGATATTTTGAAATTAAACACTTTCTCTGTTTTCTGTCTACTCTGTCCTCCACGGAGCAGAGAAAGTAATTTTTAAAAAACTGTATTAGGACAGCTCTGATGCTGAAACACCACTTTGGAAAAAAATATTGAAAACTTCCTCCCGGAAGTTAACTGCAGTATTTTTGAAAGGAGGAGGTAATGAGGGCTTAACATGATAATGCAAATTGCTCCATCTTTTCTGTATGTGGGTTTTTGAGGTGCATGTTATCAATTACATTGTATAATTACATTTAAAATCCATTTTATTATAGGCCACCCTAAAAAGTACAGGGAGGAAGGGGGGGGGAACCCAATTACGGCATGTGCTGCATCACTTTGGGGGGGAAAATTAAAGTTAAAATCTTCCTTCCAGAAGTGGGAGGAGAAAAGAGGTGGCAAGGACAGAGAGAATTTTTTTCCCTAGCTCCAAAGCCAGATCAAACAGAGTCATCTGAAGTGTGTATGCCATATGAATGAATGAATCACACCTAATGGCATATCAGACTTCTACCCAACTTTAAGTGACCTTATTCAGCCCACACCAGCCTATTCCAAATGCATCTGTGTAGACAAGCCCACAGTCACCATGCTTTGAGGTGAATGCTTAGCTCTTCTCTTTTCAATTGTCCTTTGCTGAATTTGCAAAGTAACGAGACTGAAGAGATATGTTTCCTGCTGTTTCAGGCTCCTGCTTGTGTGTAGAGCCTAAAGAAAAGCAGGAAGCTCTCCTATGCATACATACACATTGCTTTCTGCATGTGGAAAGCCATGAGAAATAAGAGAGGCTAGCTGATCCCTTCAAAGTGTGCTACAAAGGTAGTGACTGAATAGGGCTAAAGTAATCCGCAAAGTAAGCAGATACAGTGGGGTCTTGACTTGAGCATTTAATCCGTATTGGAAGGCGGTTCTCAAGTCAAAAAGTTCTCAGGTCAAATCTGTATTTCCCATAGGAATGCATTGAAAACCATTTGATCCGTATCTGCTCTTTTCCGTCCATAGAAACTAATGGGAAGCTGCTATTCTGCCTTCGACCACTAGAGGGGGATATTTTGTTTCTTTTTTTCTTAGGTCAAGAAAGGTTCAGGGAAGGCAGGGAAAATACAGTCCAGGCAGGACAGTACCAGGCAGTCCGAAGACTGTCTCCCAATCCACTCTCTAAACGCTGCGCGGAGTGAGGAAGCAGACAGGCACCCTTTTCACTGGCCAACAGTTAACTGAAAGTTCACATTTTGCACTTTCCCTGCCTCCCACATGTTTTTTTTTCAGTTCTTAACTCAAATCTAAGTATGCAAGTCAAGTCAATATTTTCCTATGAGAGCGGTTCTTAAGTCAAAATGTTCTTAACTCAAGCCGTTCTTAAGTCAAGACCCCACTTTACACCTGAAAATCAGTCCTGGAATTTTATCACCTTCATGAGCCTAGTCCAGTGTGGGCATGCACAAACACATTAACTTGACATATCCATCAATAAACTTGCGCCCCTTGCACAAGAAAAATATCAGAACACAGTTAGACTTTAGATTATTACCTCACTATCATATATGGAATGTGATGTGTGAAAATAAAGCAACGTTTTTAGTCACAGAAGCTTGTCACTCCCCACCCCCCCACACCCACACACACATTTTTTCACACACTTACCATTTTCATCTATGAAGACATGCATGGCATCCACTGACATCTCTTCTTGCAGGGAAGCCTCTGGCCCACTTATGACTTGCAAGACAGAACTGTCCTGCTGTGAAGTTACTCGGTAAATGATCTGCCGCTGCCTGGTATTCTGGTAACTTGACACATACAAAAATCCAGAAGTTTCAAATTAGTTTCAGGTCTTATATGAAGACTAATTTCCCACCCCTTTGGTTCCAACAAAAGAGAATTTTAGACATGAAGAACGAGAATGGAAATCTTCTTACTGTGCAGTGAACTTCATGGGCTCTGGGATCACTGGATTAATACCAGCAGAAGGATGATTTTGCATTTCTGATCTATCCTGTCTGGAAGAACCATGCTTTTCTTTTTCAACACAATTTTTTTCTGTTTCCTGAGTTCCTTCTTTTTTCTCTGTCATACAGCTATCTAAAAGGCATGAGAATGAAAATCTATAAATTTCAGTGGAAATGGGGGCATCACGGAGCATTTTTACACCAAATTTTAATCCATGTTCTTACTCTTTCAGAACAATTATTTTTCAAAAATGAAGTTTAAAAAAATGATTGTAACACATTCGGGGGGGGGGGAAGCTGCGGATAGATAAATTTTGTTTTTAGCAAGCAAATCACACTACCATAAGCTCATTGAATCAATGGGGATTCAATGAGTCAACTCCTCCATAAGCTCCATTGATTTAAATAGATCTACTTTAACTGTGACTTACTTTGTTAAAGTAAATCACAGTTAATGTAGATCCATTTGAATCACTGGAACTTTCAAAATGACTGACTCACTAAATCCCCATTGATTCAATGTAACTGACTCACTAAATCCCAATTGATTCAATGGGCCTACTCTAGTGCAATTTGCTATACTAAGCAAGAGGATTTTGGTCACTGAGCTCCTTCTGTGAGCTTTGTAATTAGTCATATAACCACTAACTTTATTAAGGGTAATTTACCAACCTCTCCTTCCAAGTCCTCATGGAAAAACTCAGTCTCTCAGCCCCAGCTTTCTTTCTTTTGTTACTCCCTTTGTGACTAGTCATACTAAAGTATTGCTAAAAATAAAGACAGCTGTTATCAAAGAGAACACCAATTAAATTTTTGCAAATGGTTATTTGTATAATACTAACCTTTCCCAACCCAGTTCTCTCCAGACATATTCAGATATATTGCTCCCTTGGACTCTAACCAGGGGCTATGCTGGTTCAAATCATCTGGATGAACTCAGGTTAGAGGATGTTGTCATATACTTTATTCATCCTCATCTGCTCTCTTCCCTCAGAAATATCACAATCGACAGGGCAGGCTTCAGTGATTTTAACGGGATGTCCACATAGCACTTCAATTAACATCTCCCCAAGCTCATCTTGCATCCTTTATCACACTAGATTTAGGACATTCAGAGAGGGGATGTAAAATTAAGCTGCGTTTCCTCCTTTTTTATTCCTCTTGTATTTCCTTTTTGGGAAATACATGTGAAAATTTCGCAATATTTCTGTCCAAGAGCTACATAAGCACCTACGGTAAGGATTGTTTATGCTTATCTTACTAAAAAGAAATCAGACCATTTTAGCTCAAACATAACTAATATACTGTGGAATAAACGCCATACAGCCCTTGCGGCCTCTGCCTTTGAAACATTTATCATGCCACTATAACCAGTTTTCTTTTAAACACTGGAACTATTCCTGGTAGCTCTCTCTGTTCATCGTTGGATAGCTTTGTTCCCTTTCTGTCCTGGCTATGCTCAGTGGTGTCTGAAAAAACAGACAACATTACGCAAGACAGGCAAGTCTGACATCAGCAAGATTTTCCTTTAGAAAAGCACTTTAACAACAAACATTCTGCATACTCCTTACCTATAAGGAGGCCAACGACATGTGTATATATGTATCTATGCATACAAACCTTCCAAGGACTAGAGGCTGTAGCAAACTCTAAATCCCAACAACCACAAGAAGTACTCAATTTGCTCATCTGTGCTAACATGGATGGAAAGTGCTAACATGGATGGAAATATAAGGGTTTTCTTACATTGCTATAAGCAAGAAATACTTTGATAGCTTAAAGCACTGGTTCTTAACCTTGGGTTACTCAGGAGATTTGGACTGCAACTCCCAGAAGCCTTCACCACCAACTGTGCTGACTGGGGTTTCTGGGAGTTGTAGTTCAAAAACATCCGAGTAACAAAGGTTAAGAACCACTGGCTTAAAGCAACTCCCCTCACTTTTCTAGATTTTTGTGAACCTTTTTAACTTTTTTTTAAAAAGCCTTTATCTGCACTGGGGGATGTGGGGAGAAAGTTTGTCAAGTTTTAGCCCTCCAATGAGCTGCTGTAAGCGTGGAGGAAGAGGCATTTTTTTCAGAGTTAAACATGATTTCCAATAGCTCTGATTTTGCAAAAAGGAAGACATTTTCTAGGCCTAAAGGTTACATCAATAAGGGATTCTCGAAACTCACAAAAGTGTTCCCCATGTCCTCTAGAACAGCCATTCTCAACAGTGGCCCTGGCACATTTGAAGGGGGCCACAGACTGGAAGCAATTCTTCACACACCACCTTATAAAGGTTGTTACACAACTTATGCAATACTGATTGGGCCTTTCCTTCATACTGTGCTAATGACTTTGGCCAAAATAAGATTGAGAATGGCTACTCTAGAGGGTTAAAAAAATTAAAAGTAATGGGTGTTTGGGCGGGGATGGGTGCAACCTTCCAAGGTCTGGGTGTGTGCTTGGCATTCCCTGGAACTCTGGAAGTTCCCCATCTCTGGCCTGCAAAGAGAGTACCAAGGGACTATTGGCTTTGTGCTGGGTAGAGAGAGGGACCCTTAAAGAACCAGTGGTGAAGTAATGGTAGTTGTGGCTGATCCATCCAAGTGTATGAAATCAAATTACAATAACAGAGTAAGGAGGCAGTGGGCAAGATCTAAAGGTGTCCTTCAGTATCCAACCACAGAATTGAGACTTTCTCCTCTTCCTGTCTGCTGTAGTACTCGGTGGTGCCAACAAACCTCCTCTAAAAAGTTTCCTAGCAATTTGGAGGAGATTTTTAGGGTGCACCAAGATACAGGGCTATAGGGAAAAGGAGAGTTGCCAATTCTGGCAGAAACAGGGGAACCACTAGTAGCACATTGTTTGATTATGGCTTAGAGTCAGGGGATTCTGCAGTAATGGCCAAAATCCTGGTTGCATAACTTTTGTGCAGCAGAAGCAGATGATGTCATCAACTCCTGCCACTAAAATTTATTTTAAATTAATTACTATTTTCCTATCCCTCTGTTTGGTTCTGAGCCTCCCTAGGGCTTCCTTTTGCCCTGGGAAGCCTTTGGGAGCTAAGGATGAGGGATGGAGGAGCATTTCAACATCTAAAATTGCCACTGGATAACTGCTGGTGATCCCAACCCCAGCAGTGATGATCCAGCAATGGATTTTTGGTGATTAAAGGCTCCTCCCTCATCCCAGAGGCTTCCTCGGGAACCCTAGGGAGCTCTGGAACTTAAAACAAAGGGAGAAATAGTAAGCATTAATTCATTTGAAATAAATGTTAGCAATTAAAATCCATTTCTGCCCTGCAAAGTTTCACAAAGAGGATTTGGGCCTATGCTTGACACTCTAAATTTGTCCAAGGGAAAATCATATTATAGATCATGAATACTTACTGTCATCCACTCTTTTGACAAGAATGTCTTCTGCCCTTAACTCAGTTAAATGCTCAAAAATGCCTTATGGGCACAGAAATCTAATCATTTCAAAACTATGCAACATACCTCCAGTGGGACCCTTATCTTTTGCACTCTCTGATTTTGAATCAGATGCCGTTGCCTTTGAAGTATTGATAGATTCCAGCAGCGAGACAAATTCCAAGAAATTAGATTCATTTGGTATCTGTCCTTCCTTAGCTTCCAGGTCAGATTTAGAAGTTGGCAAAAGCTTCTCTTTATCACTATCTGTCTCTGTGGAATTCTTACCTAAAAAAACATCTGTCCCACTATCTACACTGAGCACCCGAGCATGTCTCTTTTCATGAGTCCCTTTATATGAGGTGGGGACACCCAAATTTTGTTGTCTTCCCTTTGAGTGCGAAGTTGTTCCGTTGACATTCTCAGAGGCATTTTCTAAACAAATCCCTATTTCTTCAAGATCATTTGTTGGATTGTCACTATATTCTTTTGCAACATTGTCTTGTTCACCAGATTCATAACCAGAACACTGGTTAGATGATGCATCTACATTGAGATTGTCTGGTGTTCTTATACTTTCACTTACTTCTGGATAGGCATGGCCTCCACTGCCATCGGACAGTTCGAAAGTGATGATGGGGATTTTCATCTGGTCATTGTTTTGTTTGCTGTGTTGATCTGCTGTTGCAACACCAGACTCTGGATCTGAACTTGATTTTTCTATGCCCAGTGTTTTCAAATGTTGTGACCCTTCTATTTCAATAGTGGAACTGTGGGTACTACTCATGGTGATAACTATTTTAATGGGTTCGTGTAATTTAAGGGGGTCTCCTGGGAGAGAATTATCAACAAGAGCAACAGCTACCTCACTCTCTGAATCGTCAAAATGCGTCTTCATGTCATTGGCATAAGAAGAACTTCTGACAGGTCCATCGGTTCCCTTCACTGCTATGGTATTGCACTGCAGGCAGCTAGCAGTAAGGCTGTCTTGAGCTGAGGCATCCAGTAACTTTTCTTTCCGGAAGCATTTTGGATTGCTTAGATGCTCTGAAATGATGACTGAATTTTCAGTGCTCCAAGGCTCAAAGGAAATGCCAGTTTTTAAAATGTCATATTGAGACAGAGAAAGATTTGGCAATTTTTTAACAACACTTTTGTCAAGAGGTGTGTCCTCCACTGTAGTGTGACCTGAAGGGTGCACTTTTTCATCCTTTTCACTGGTTGTGCTATTGATAAGGGTCTCCACTGCATTTGGCTTTGCCACTATGGCAGATGTGTTTGAACTCGACATAAGTGCCATAGAAGCAGACAGAATATCTGCTTTGATGCAAGGTGAGGTAGAAGAAACTGGTAGAGAGGCCTGATCTTCCAAAACCAATACTCCTGAATCAGAAGAGAGACAAATATGGGATTTTATCATATGACATTCTGTCAGTACAGGCTTTCTGGAAGATCTTCAAGAAAGCATTCTTAGTGGGACACGAACATACCTACATTTATTCTAAAAGTACCCATTACTTTTTTCATGAGCTCTAATGGTAACTTTACAGATATCAGATCTGTAAATATTTCATAGTTCTTAAGCAGATCACTAGTAAAATTAACTTGCATCTTCATTCTTTGTGAGGTAAGAAAAAGGCGGCAAATGATGGTCTCTTATAATCTAGGTATCTGGCTGTGGAGCAAGAGATTGGGAGCTCAATTCCCCACTGTGCCTCCTGTGAGTAGATCCAGCCTGTGTGGCTTTGGGCAAGCTGCACAGTCCCAAGTCGCCCCCAGAAGAAGGGACTGGGAAACCACTTCTGAAAATACTTTGTCTGGCAAACCCTGAAAACAGTCACCATGAGTCAGATTTGACTAGTTGGCACATTACTATTATGATTATTATCTTAAGATCAAATGTAAAAAATTGAATACTACCTTTGAAGGAAAAGAGAGGGGCCTATCAAAACAAAAACTAGCAATAATAACACTTGACATCTCTGCAGCACTGTCATTACTGATTATCTCATGCAGCAATGCTGCAAATTAAGTGACTATTATCTTCTGCGTGTGGCAGCCTGTGGCTGAGAGCTGCTTAATGAAGGTCATGTGATGGATTTATTACTTCGAAAAGTAGCAGAAGAGAATTGTTGGAAATTGGGCACCAAAGCACAATGAATGTTGACAATTCCTTACACCACGGTTACAAAGTAAGGAGAATCTGGGTTGTTCTTGTGGGCATGAGACAATCTATGCCCTTGCTTTTCCAATATATAGTACAAAATAAGCAGAGCAATAAAATGAGCCCAGAACTCCTGCAGAAGGTCACCATGATCTCAAGCCACTTGGACATGATGATGGGGGTAAGCTGTGTACTACAAGCAGCATTTACTTAGATAAGTCCTCTTCCCAAGAATGGAATTATAGCTGTGTCACATTGTGACTGTAGCCTAACTCAGAATAATCTCAGTATTTTCTGCAATATAACTGTAAATATTAATTCTTTTTAATCAATCCAGGACAAATTCTACAGTTAAAAGTGCTGGCTTTTACTGTGTCTTATCCCTTGTTGTGGGTGTTGAGACAATAACAAGATGGATAGAAAAGGAATGTGCTATGCGCTATGTACTATGGGCAGCTACTCCATAGCATTCAGATAGCCTTTTAAAAAGCAGCTATAAGCAACTAATTTAGCTCCTTCTGAGAAATGGAAAGCAAAGTGTTGCTCTTTATAAATGTTAATTATCATGGCAAATCATTGCTTTGAGGGTCTGACACCTGTAAATGCAATGAGTTTCCTTCTTTTCTCTTTACAAATTAACTATCCAAGCTTTAGCACATTGTGACTTTGTGAGAATCATTGGCTGGTGTGGTGATCTTCAAACATTTTGTGGGGGGAAACTGCCACATGCACTCAAATACTCAAGCACTAATTCAGACTTAGTTCAGATCTCAAAATGCAGAGTCTTCTTTACTCAGCTTCTTACACCAGATCAATAGGTCTGCCACCTCCACAGAAGATACACAAATTAAGACCTCCACAAAAAAAGGAGTAAAATAAGTGCAGGAAGAAATCCTAAACTAGGCAGGGTCATCACAGTAGGGCTGAAGAGGGGCTAAAAGGTATAGACATCACTAAAGAGGCTAACATATACTTTTTATTAGTTTTACTGTACTTCCTTTTAAAATACAGTTATTACATACTGTAAACGTTGCTACAATGTTCTTCCTTTGTTCAAATGCAGTGATTGTTTTTTTTAAAAAATTGACATCCCTCATGCCCTCTAGAAGCTAATTTTTAAATGAAGTGGTAAAATTACTGTTGGGTGGGGCAAATCACATGAAAAAATTGCCTGCCATCTCCTAGAGGGCACAAGATAATTTGCTGAGAAATAAATTTTTCCCAAAAACACTTTTCTAAAAATTGCAGTTTATGGGATTTAAAGGCTCCTGGTCTATATATTTGCCCACTCCTATCTTGAACCCACTTAATTAAGAGTACATTCCACTGAACATAATAGGAATTACTTCTGGGTAATCATGGACAAGGGTGTGGTACAAGTCCCACGGAATTCTGGGAGGCCAGATGGCTCTGCCCAACTATGAAAAATGAAACATTAGGAGACAAAATCAAATCATTTAACCATTACAGTGGTGCCTCGCTTGACGACAATAATGCATTGTTAAAATTGCTGTTAAGCGAAATTGTCATCAAGCATAATTAAAAAACCCATTGAAATGCATTGAAAACCGTTCAATGCATTCCAATGGGCGAAATACCTCATCGTGCAGTGAAGATCCTCCATAGGGCGGCCATTTTCTGGTGCCTCTATAGTGAGGAATCCATCACTAACACAGCAGGAAACCATTTTGCACAGCAGGAGGCCATTTTGAAAGCCAACGATCAGCTGTTTTTAGATTGTCGTAATGAGAAGAATCGGTTCCCGAAGAAGGGAACTGATCATCGTAAAGCGAATGTTCCCCCTAGGAACATCGTAAAGTGGATTCGTAGTTTAACGAGGTAATCGTTAAGCGAGGCACCACTGTAATTTCTTTTGAGGTATCTATAATGAAGAGGCAAAGAAATATACAGTAATATAACCGCAAAACATTAAGAATGTATGGAGACATAGATGGGCAGAGATGTTTCAATTGAAATAAAAGAATAATGTAAATTAACCTTATCCAAGTTTTCATGAAATGAAGGTTTATGTGTTGATAAAATATGCCTTATATGCAGCTAACTGTCATAGTTTATATTATAAATAAGCTATAAAACATTCTACAACATGCAAGTTTCTCTGGATGGCTTAATCACAGTAAAATGTTATGTGAAAAGTACCTTTCAGATCTTCAATAGTTTCTTGAGCTGGTAACTCCTAAAATGAAGCACAGTGATAATATGATCCAGGTTCTTTTCAACAGAACTTACAGAATTTAAATTTTAAAAATTCATAGGAGGTTATCATAGTAATGTTGTTACTGTGGGGGTGGGGATGTATTCCTGATTTACAGTGATCCTAATAGGGTATTCAAGGTAAGTGGGGTATTTAAAAAGTCATTTTAGTAGTTTCAGCACTTGGTGAGTTTCTATAGCTAAGCCACATAATCAAATCCATGTCTCTTAATCTTAGTCCATTACAGTACTTTATTCACTACACTGTGCTGGGTGCCCCTAATCATAGTAATACCTGATGACAAATCAAGATAAGCTTTTAAAATGCCTGAATATTATGATTGTATCTATCATACTGCAATAGAAAGTTGCTTGACAATGAAGGATTAAGGGCTAGCTTAATGTTCATGTTTGGTTTACATGCCATATAGACCAAGAAAAGGTTTGTTTTCAAGCTGTTGGAGTTAAAATGCTATTACAATTCTTATTTTAAACTGATCTAGGAGTTCAATTTCCCCACTGTGGAACTGAACTCCTAACCACTGGGAACCCAAGGTTGGGAACCACTACTCTATATAGACAACCACTCTACAGTGGTGCCCCGCTTGACGATGATAATCTGTTCCAGGAAAATCGCTGTTAAGTGAAATCGTTGTCAAGCGAAAAAAACCATTGGAATGCATTGAAAACCGGTCAGTGCGTTCCAATGGGGAAATACCTCATTGTCCAGCGAAGTTTGCCCATAGAGAACTGCTGATCAGCTGTTAAAAATCGCTGTCTTCCGAAGCAGGGGTCCGGAAAGCAGCCATTTTGAGAAGGGAGGGAAGCCATTTTGCGGAGGGAAGCCATTTTGTGGAGCTGGAAAAAACATTGTATAGCGAACAAACGATTCACGAAGCAGGCTCCTAATCAACGTAATGCAGAAAACCCTCACTGGAACCATCGTTTTGCGATCGCAATAGGAATCACAAAAATGTCATTGTTAAGCAATTTTGATGTCATGCGGGGTAAGCGTCTAGCGGGGCACCACTCAAGAGCTCGCAAATAAGAGCTTGCAAATGTATAAGATGACTTGCCAGGAGGGATTGCATTTTTTAGAATTCCCACTGACAAGTGACTCCAAACACCACACAGATTTCTGGACATGAATTTTTTTCCATTTTCCTCTGTAACTAGCACATGGACCCATAATATTTTGAGGAGAGGACAGCAATTGTTGGACTACAACCCCATGTCTCTTCTCTACACTACCCTGTTTCCCCAAAAATAAGACACTGATCATCGTAAAGCGAATGTTCCCCCTAGGAACATCGTAAAGTGGATTCGTAGTTTAACGAGGTAATCGTTAAGCGAGGCACCACTGTAATTTCTTTTGAGGTATCTATAATGAAGAGGCAAAGAAATATACAGTAATATAACCGCAAAACATTAAGAATGTATGGAGACATAGATGGGCAGAGATGTTTCAATTGAAATAAAAGAATAATGTAAATTAACCTTATCCAAGTTTTCATGAAATGAAGGTTTATGTGTTGATAAAATATGCCTTATATGCAGCTAACTGTCATAGTTTATATTATAAATAAGCTATAAAACATTCTACAACATGCAAGTTTCTCTGGATGGCTTAATCACAGTAAAATGTTATGTGAAAAGTACCTTTCAGATCTTCAATAGTTTCTTGAGCTGGTAACTCCTAAAATGAAGCACAGTGATAATATGATCCAGGTTCTTTTCAACAGAACTTACAGAATTTAAATTTTAAAAATTCATAGGAGGTTATCATAGTAATGTTGTTACTGTGGGGGTGGGGATGTATTCCTGATTTACAGTGATCCTAATAGGGTATTCAAGGTAAGTGGGGTATTTAAAAAGTCATTTTAGTAGTTTCAGCACTTGGTGAGTTTCTATAGCTAAGCCACATAATCAAATCCATGTCTCTTAATCTTAGTCCATTACAGTACTTTATTCACTACACTGTGCTGGGTGCCCCTAATCATAGTAATACCTGATGACAAATCAATATAAGCTTTTACGATGCCTGAATATTATGATTGTATCTATCATACTGCAATAGAAAGTTGCTTGACAATGAAGGATTAAGGGCTAGCTTAATGTTCATGTTTGGTTTACATGCCATATAGACCAAGAAAAGGTTTGTTTTCAAGCTGTTGGAGTTAAAATGCTATTACAATTCTTATTTTAAACTGATCTAGGAGTTCAATTTCCCCACTGTGGAACTGAACTCCTAACCACTGGGAACCCAAGGTTGGGAACCACTACTCTATATAGACAACCACTCTACAGTGGTGCCCCGCTTGACGATGATAATCTGTTCCAGGAAAATCGCTGTTAAGTGAAATCGTTGTCAAGCGAAAAAAAACATTGGAATGCATTGAAAACCGGTCAGTGCGTTCCAATGGGGAAATACCTCATTGTCCAGCGAAGTTTGCCCATAGAGAACTGCTGATCAGCTGTTAAAAATCGCTGTCTTCCGAAGCAGGGGTCCGGAAAGCAGCCATTTTGAGAAGGGAGGGAAGCCATTTTGCGGAGGGAAGCCATTTTGTGGAGCTGGAAAAAACATTGTATAGCGAACAAACGATTCACGAAGCAGGCTCCTAATCAACGTAATGCAGAAAACCCTAATTGGAACCATCGTTTTGCGATCGCAATAGGAATCACAAAAATGTCATTGTTAAGCAATTTTGATGTCATGCGGGGTAAGCGTCTAGCGGGGCACCACTCAAGAGCTTGCAAATGTATAAGATGACTTGCCAGGAGGGATTGCATTTTTTAGAATTCCCACTGACAAGTGACTCCAAACACCACACAGATTTCTGGACATGAATTTTTTTCCATTTTCCTCTGTAACTAGCACATGGACCCATAATATTTTGAGGAGAGGACAGCAATTGTTGGACTACAACCCCATGTCTCTTCTCTACACTACCCTGTTTCCCCAAAAATAAGACCTAACCTGAAAATAAGCCCTAGTATGATTTTTCAGGATGCTCGTAATATAAGCCCTACCCCCAAAATAAGCCCCAGTTAAGTGAAACCCCTCCTTCCACCATTGTGCAGCAATCAGAAGAAGATGGTATGACTGCATTTGAATAAATGTAGATTGTTGTACATGAAAAAAATAAAACATTCCCTGAAAATAAGCTTTAGTGCGTTTTTTGGAGCAAAAATTAATATAAGACCCTGTCTTATTTTTGGGGAAAACATGATTCCTATTGATTTACAATCCAGCAAATTTTGGAAAGCTAGATGCTTTCCTGCCCTGCCTAAAGAGGCCACGAGCACTATACAGCTCATAGTGCTGGTCACATCTTTGAACAAGGGGATAGACCAAAGATACAACATTTTAGCTTTTTAGACTCTCTAGTTGTTGGCTATCTAACAATTGCTTAGAATTTCTGGACACCATATTTCCAAATTTATCTCTGCAGATCACAAAAATACATGTAACTGGAGCAGCACACTCGTTTCATGAACAAAAGCAGTCCTGCCTGTCCTACCCACAGGTCATCTATAGTAAAACAAAGTATGTGCAATGACACTGACATGTTCTCAGTTTCCTTGCTTCTGCTCCACATCATTGGTTGTTGCTTTCATGAATGGTAAAAGATGAGAGCACAATGACATCCTTTGCTAAAAGAGGAGATGACAGGTTGGTTGTCTACCTGTCTTTTCAACAAAATCCAGTGGTGTATTAGAATAAAGATTTACTAACCAGTACTCCTGAAGAGTGATGAGAGAGTATAGCTTGTACTTTTACACTGCTGTGGATGGTTGGTGTTGACCCATTATGCTTGCTCTCTTCGATTGTGCCATTCTCCCCTATATTACTGCTATTGAGAACAATAAAGAACAAAAAAAGCCAGTGATGGCTATTTCTTACTGAAATTCAACATATTTCAGACATTTTCTTCTTTAGAGGCAGTCAAAAAAGAACTTGGTATGAGATAGGCAGCATTTATTTATTTATTTATTTATTTAATTTATATGCCGCCCACACTACCCAAAGGTCTCTGGGCAGCTTACAGCATTTAAAATACAATAAAGATATGTACAATTAAAATACAATTAAAATATATATAAAATTGCCATCAGACCCACAGCTAATATTATTTCACTTAAAAGCCTTCTGGAACAGGAAGGTTTTGACCTGGCGCCGAAATGTCATCAGTGTCGGCGCCAGACGAATCTCAGTCGGGAGGGCATTCCATAGTCTGGGGGCAGCTGCCGAAAAGACCCTTTGTCTACAAACCGTCCCTCTTACCTCCTTAACATGTAATGTTTTCCATCCCAGTTATGAATAGGAAGTTCTTCAGTTTTTTTGTATACAATTGTATGGAAGTGTTTCTGCACTGAATTCTTAATGTGTTCAAATGAAATCTATGTAAAAAGATTTGAGGTGCTATATTTTAACAGTTGAGTTTTAGTAGATGCTCAAGCATGTAACTTATACAGAATTGTGTTTTAGGATTTCTTGAAGAATGTAAAATCCACTAATAGTGCCCAGTAGGGCCAGGGGCAGAGAGACAGTAGAGGGAGCTACCAACACCATTAATGAGCTGTACACTGTATATACAAAGCTATGACTTATGATGGATGTAGAGCTGCACCTTGAGGATACAGCAGCAGGTATCAGATTGCAACCCCTGTAATCCTTTGCTGCACTAGCTAGGGCTCATGGACAGAATGCTGCTGGGAGACAGAAGCCCTAGATCATGATCAAATTTCTGTCTCCTGTAGATGATGCAGGAAAACCCCAGACTCAAGAAGGCTGTTCTTCCAGTTTATCCCTGAAAGCAGGAAATGATGCTTTCTTTCTTTCTTTCTTTCTTTCTTTCTTTCTTTCTTTCTGTCTTTCTTTCTTTCTTTCTTTCTTTCTTTCTTTCTTTCTTTCTTTCTTTCCTCATTAGTGTTGCTACTCTCTGGGTGGTTCACAATATACAATACAAACAGAGACTAAAACACTATTTAATAAATACAAAAGAACAACTTTTCATGTATTTATTTATATTATTTATATGCCTCCTTTCTCTCCATAGGGGACCCAAAGCAGTTCATAACAGATAAAACAACAAAATTTTAAAACAATATATAAATATCATAACTAAAAATTAAATTAAGCATATATTGAGATTTTTAAAATCAAGTTTTTAAAAAATTCAAGAACATCTAAAAATCTGTAAGTTAAAAACCAGTATTTCTGAGATAACTTGCTGCTTAAAAGCCTGCCTGAAGTGGAAGGACAAGACGGAGAGTCAACCTAGCTTCTCAAGGCAGTGCGTTCCAAAGCCTGGGTGCAGCTACTGAGAAGGCCTTCTCTCATGCTGTCACCAAGCTGGCCTGTGAAGGTAGTGGAACCAAGAGAAGGGGTGGTATGATCCTTCAAATAGCCTGGACCCAAACCACATGGGGCTTCATAGGTAATAACCAGCACTTTGAATTGGGCCCAGAAATATACTGGCAGTCACTGAAGCTGCTGTTATAAGTCATAAGCTTCATTTTGTACCAGCTGAAGTTTCTGAATACTTTACAAAGGCAGCCCCATGTACAGTGTGTTGCAAGAACAAAGACAGCCTTATGTAGAGTCCATTGCTGCAAGCCAAATCCAAGATGTAACTAAGGCATGTGTCACTGTAGCCAGATTGGACATCACAAGGAATGGGAGCAGCTGAAATAACAACTTTAATGTGCAAATGAACTCCTGGCCACTGCTAAATCCTGTGCGTCCAAGCTCAGGGCTGAGTCCAAGATGGTGGACTTAAGATCCTGTACTCAGGGTTGAATGTAGGATGGTGTTACACCCACCCACCTGGGGAGGGTATAACACCATCCTGTAGAGGCTAAATCCCTATCCCCTGATTTGCCTTGTGACTGACCAGGAGAACATCTGTTTTGTTTAAATTAAATTTCAGTTGGTTAGCTCTGATCCAATCCATCACTGACAACTGTCTAAGCCCAGAACATCTTCCTTGAAATCCTGTCACCAGCTAGAATAAAATAAAGCCCATTTGAACACATTAGGACACTTTATTCCAGTAGAAGGCAGCTTTACATCATTCGGTCTTTATTTGCTTCCTAAAAACAGAGCAAGATGGTGATGGGTAAACCTCTGTAGGAAACTTGTTCCACAGGGAAGGCACCACAACCGAGAAAGCTCGGTTCTTTGTGTTGGCTTTTTTTGGCCTCCTTAGGTGTTACAATACATCAAGGACTATGAACAACATGTGGGTAGCTATTTTGTGGGAGAGATGTTCTGCCCGATATCAAGGTCCTAAATCATTAAGCATTTTTCAGGTTATGACCAGCACCTTAAATAGAGCATGGAAAATAACGGGGAGCCAGTGAAGGCACACTAAGACTGGAGATGTGTGTTCATATCTGCTGGTACCTGTAATCATTTTAGCCAGTTCATTTTGGACCTGCTGTAGTTTCAGTACTGACTTCAAGGACAGCCCTAGGTAGAGAACATTACAGTAGTCTGTTTTAAAGATTACCAACACATGAATCACTGTTGTTAGGCATTTCTTATCCAGGGTGTGTGTGTGTGTGTGTGGCAATTTAACCAAAGATGATATAAGGCACTCTTTGCCACACAGATAAATGTGGCTCCATGTTTCTCTCTCTCTTTTTTCTCGTGGCTTATACTACCTTCTGTCTTTGCTTCTTGTTATTTCTTTGTAACTGCCACCATGGATCATAATCTAAACAGGCACATACGTGGTCCAGTCAGAAAACTGGCAGCCCCACTCTTCAGTTACTTTTCAGGGAGTCATCTGAACCAAATCCAGTTGTTAGCACCAAACAATAGAATGGTGTTGATTAAATAAGCAGAATGTTTAAAGTTAACATTTGATGTTAAATACATTGACCCAAATCCTCTTGACTAGTTATGATACTGTAACATAAGCAGCATAATATTTGAAGGCGAGTTGTCCCATGTTAAGAAATCACAGTAGACATTATCTGTTGCATATTGAGTTGTATGACTCAACTCAGTGGGCAAAATCCTCTTGCATACATTTATGGTACAGAAGCTGAATGACATCATCATCTAGTGCCATTCAGATATAACACTGGATTGCCATCACTGGGATGACGGTTGTCAGTGATCTATCTGTGATTTTTTTTTACTACTAAAGTCTTCCACCCTATGTCTCGATGCTCCTAAAGGCTTCCCCCAGGACAAAACGGAACCTTAGGGAACCTGGAAACTGAAACAGTGGGACAGGAAGTTTCCAATTCATGTAAATATTCCCTTTGTCGGATGATAATATAATCTGCCTTGCGTGGTGCAACTTATGCCAATAGTGTTTAATTATGATTTATACCATTATGTTTTTGTTCACTATTGTTTAATTGTGTAAACCGCTCAGAGTGGCCTTGGCAGCCAGATGAGCAGTATAAAAGTACTACTACTACTTGTCCCAGCTCCCGCCAACCTAGCGGTTCGAAAGCATGCAAATGCAAGTAGATAAATAGGTACCATCTCGGTGGGAAGGTAAACAGCGTTCCGTGTCTAAATCACACTGGCCATGTGACCACGGAAGATTGTCTTCGGACAAACGCTGGCTCTATGGCTTGAAGAGCGGGATGAGCGCCGCCCCCTAGAGTCGGACACGACTGGACAAAAATTGTCAAGGGGAACCTTTACCTTAACTTACTTACTACTACTACTACTACTACTACTACTAGCAGTAACAGTAGCAGTAGCAGCAGCAGTAGCAATAGCAATAGT